AAAGAAAGGAAGGGAGGGAGGGAAAAAAGAATGGAGGGAGAGGCAGGGAGAGGAAGGGAAAGAAGATAGGTTTACCTAAAAGGAGTGTACCTATTTAAAAAAAAAAAAAAGCCACCTCCTTCTCAGACAATGAAGGTATGGGCCAGAGGAAAAACCTGAGAAAATTTGGGAATTCTTCATTTAGGGATAATCATGTGTCTCCCTGGGTCCCCTTCCAAAAATTTAAATCTTCCTGGAGGGCAGTGAATAATCAAAGAATTTGAGCTGTCACAGTCCTTCCTTTGGAAAAGAGGGACTTGGAGCTTAAAAAAAGAGCATAAGTGGTGGTGGAGAACAGGAGGGAAGGAAAGCTAGAAGTACTCACTCCCAGGTTTCCAGGGGACTCTCTGATTGTGCTTATGTCTTAACAGGCTGCCAGTGTGACCTCTGCAGTTCCCCCTCCTCAGGGCCAGCTATGAGTTCCTGCAACTTCACACATGCCACCTTTGTACTTATTGGTATCCCAGGACTAGAGGAAGCCCATTTCTGGTTCGGCTTCCCACTGCTTTCAATGTACGCTGTGGCCGTGTTTGGAAACTGCATCGTAGTCTTTATTGTAAGAACAGAGCGCAGACTGCATGCTCCCATGTACCTCTTTCTCTGCATGCTGGCAGCTATTGACCTGGCCTTGTCCACATCCACCATGCCCAAGATCCTTGCCCTCTTCTGGTTTGACTCCCGGGAGATTTCTTTTGATGCCTGCCTTGTCCAGATGTTCTTCATTCATGCTCTCTCAGCCATTGAATCCACCATCCTACTGGCCATGGCCTTTGACCGTTATGTGGCCATCTGTCACCCACTGCGCCATGCTGCGGTGCTCAATAATACAGTAACAGCCCAGATTGGCATGGTGGCTGTGATCCGCGGATCCCTCTTCTTTTTCCCACTGCCACTACTCATCAAGCGGCTGGCCTTCTGCCACTCCAATGTGCTCTCACACTCCTACTGTGTGCACCAGGATATGATGAAGTTGGCCTATGCAGACACATTGCCCAATATGGTCTACGGTCTTACTGCCATTCTCCTGGTCATGGGTGTGGATGTCATGTTCATCTCCTTGTCCTACTTTCTGATTATACGAACAGTTCTGCAACTGCCCTCCAAGTCAGAAAGGGCCAAAGCCTTTGGGACCTGTGTGTCACACATTGGTGTGGTCCTGGCCTTCTATGTGCCACTCATCGGCCTCTCGGTGGTGCACCGCTTTGGAAACAGCCTTGATCCCATTGTGCATGTTCTCATGGGGGATGTCTACCTGCTGCTGCCTCCTGTAATCAATCCCATCATCTACGGTGCCAAGACCAAGCAGATCAGAACACGGGTGCTGGCTATGCTCAGGATCAGTTGTGACAAGAACATTCAAGCTGTGGAACATAGGTGACCCTTGCCATCCTAATTCCCCTTATTCTTACTAGTTTAATATAATTATTTCATAACACTAATTTAATTCCAGTTGCCTGTAAACACATCAGTGCTTTTTCTCCATCTGGAATAGTAAACTACAGTCTAGTCGCTTCATGGAATAATAAGTGGGATAATCCATATTAATGGAATATTATCTGGTTAAAAGACTGATAAAAATGAAACATTGTAATATTAACTAAAATAATAAGGATATTTGATTGAAACTAGGTTGAAAAACAGCCTATGCCTTGGAGGAAATGTATTCAAATGATTGATGATTTAGTTTTATTCCTGCTTTTTAAACTTTTTGTCATGTAGTTATTGTTTAGTTGACATGTACAGTTTTTTTTTTAATGTGGGAAATTAAACTGACAATTTATGGAAGCCAGGGCTTGCCACAGTCCCCACTGTTGGTTTATAATGCACTACCTGGGAATTTATCCAAGCCCTTAATAATAGTGTTTATACACTTATCTTGTGTGCTTGCAATGTTCCAGTCTCTATGATAAGTGCTTTATAGCTTTTTTGTGATCATCACAGCTTTATGGGATTGGTGCCATTTTTGTCTACTCATTACAGGTGATAGAAATGAAGCTCATAATAGCAAAGTGACTTAACTAATCACATAGCTTTTGTGTGCTGTGCCAAGGTTTGAAATTAAATTTGATAATTGAATCCAGTTACTTTACTGCCATTTATATTGCTTCCTGTTTAACATCTGCCATTTATTTCCTCTGCCTGTGCAAACCCTGTTTTCTCTCTGCTGTGTGCTAAGATGGTTATCTTTGTTTTTTGTGCCTGAGAGATAACCCTGTCCTGGTTGAGGGTGACAGAACCAGGTTAGTTCACGCTTCATGTTTAGTAGCCATGATCTGATAGCTTACTTCTTTCCAGGCTAAAGGAAAATGGTTTTGTCTATTTGTCTCATTCATATATTATATCTCTTGGATCATGTCTTCCCTTTTTTAGTGTGTCCTGTATCTGTCCAATATTTTGAATGATACTGAGTTTTAATATAGGTGTCAGAAAAAAATTTAAATTTTGTTATGCTTGATTCTTTATTTTTATAGAATCCTATAAATTGATATTTGGAAATATGTGAGAGTCTCCAGTCTTCTTTTCCATCAGTACAAGGGTCCCTGACATGTATTGTTTGCAGAACTGTAAAGATGTTAAATGCATTTTATTTCAAGGTAGAATATTCTCATTGTATGGATTAGAAGCTCTAATGAGTAGTTGAAACTGGAATGAATACAATTGCTGGGCCTATGTGAGCTTGGGAAGTTACAGAGTTTCAGTTTGAAATGTTAAAAAGCTCTGGAAATGGATAGTGGTGATGGTTGCAAAGCAGTGTTAATATACTTGATGCTATTGAATTGAATGCTCAATTACTTAAATGGTGAATTTTATATTATCTATATTTTACCACAATAAAAAATCTTCAAAACTTAATAGAAAATATTTCATTATTAATTTTATGTCAAGAACATATTGAAATAATTTTATTTTGGCTTTATTGGATGGAGGAAAATATTATTTCTGAAAGGATGGTATGTATTCCAAAGTAACAAAGTTTTAATAGCAGGACTACTAATGTTGTAATTGGCCCATGATTTCAGTAGCAACATTTCCAGGCTTCAAATCCCATCATGAAGGACACTAAATATATTTATATCTGCATATAGCCTAAAAAATGAATCAATAAAAGGGAGACAGCAAGTGTTACTGTTACTGTGTATACTTGGACAAATCACCCATGTTCTCAGCTCATCTTTTTCTGCCTATAACTTTATAATAAGCTTCATTTCTGAGGTAAAAATACAGAAATAGAAAAAAATTCCAAGTTCATTTTATATATCCATCCACTAATATTAGGTAATAACTTAGCAAGTTTTTTCTAACACAAATATTTAAGCAGTGATTACGTGTATGGGACAATCATATGACCTTGTGATGGTGAATGTTGTGTAACAGCTTGCCAAGGTCATAGAGTCAGACATTTTGGTCAGATGCATTTTTAGATATTTCCATGAGAATGTTTTTGGATGTCATTAACATGTAAATTAATGGACTTTGAGGTAAGCAGATGGCCCTCCATAATGTGGGTGTACCACATCCAATCAGTTGAAGGTCCTCAGAGACGGAAGATGGATCTCCTCTAGGCAAGAGGGAATTCTGCAGCAGACACAGCCGTAACCTTTAAACTGTAGTGCTGATACTTCCTTGAATCTATCTGCCTACCCTGCAGGTTTGGGATTTACTAGCCTCCATGAACATGTAAGCCAGTTCCTCAACATAAGCCTCTCTTTCTCTCTCCATTTCTCTATTTCTGTTTCTATTTATCCATCCATCCTATTAGTTCTACTTCTCTGACAAACCCTGAATAAAAGAGATATATGAATTGAAAAAAAGGGAAAAAATCATCCCTGTGGCCAGCCAAGCCATGACAGGAGAACTGAAAATTGAAAGAGAAGCCATCTGTACTATGTCATGCCAAACATAAAACAGATTAACTGTGCAAATTCAATATTCAATAGACATCAAAAGCTATCTATTCAAGCTCAAAATTTTGTAATGTTAGTATGTCCAAATCATGTGTCTCAAGACCAAGGACAGACTGATCACCAACTCTACATGATTCACATCTTCTAAAGCTATTACCAAGGTTGCAGCCCTGAACAGTAGGTACTTGGCTCTCTCAGGACTTCCTTAAAGATGTGTTAAGGGAAATGTCTATCTAAAAGGAAAGTGAGAGCATTTGTCCATCACCTCTTACTCTTATAGCCAACTAGTAAGTTAAGGCACAAAGGAATTATAATTTTTTCAAAGTCACTCAGTAGTAAAATGCAGAGTCCAGACTTGAAGCCAGGTCTTTTTGATATTGGAGTCTTCTCTTTCACACTTTATTATAGCACTGGCTGAGACTGTAGCCTCATCAGGCAGGCATGGATTGACATACGTAAAGCTGTAGAGATTTAATGTATACAACTTCATGCATTTGGATATGAGCACATGCTTCTGAAACTATCGCCACAATCAACACAGTAAATTTATCACCTCCAAGTTTCCTCCTGCTCCCTCCTGCTCCTTGTCGTTGTTTTCCTTCTGTGGTAAGAGCATTTAACATAAGATCTACTCTCTTGACAGATTTTTAAATATACAATACAGTATTGTGACTCTCAGGCCTTGAATCCAGTTGCTTGTGAAGAACTACCTACTCTCCTACCCCATATTGTGTGCTCCTAGATCAGGACCAGACAGAAGCTTAGCCTACCCTGGACTCTGCATAAGGAGCTGTGAGATGGGGTTTGTGAGCTCTGAGCTATCTTTCTGTTCTGCCACTCGGTGGGTGATTTTATGTAATTTATACAATCTCTTTGGATCAATATGGTGCCTGATTCAGATAATCTCTAATTCCCAGCCCCAATATATATATATATATATATATATGAATATATATGATACATTCTGAATACCATTAAGAATCCCCAGATAATTCCAAGGCCCTACAAGACTGACACTCCTAGGCCTCCTTGGAACTGCCCCCTGGCCCACAGGAGAAAGAGCCAGCTCTCTTCCCTGTGGTTACACCTGCTATTTGCCCAAATATGGCATTTCTCAACTTGATCTCCTACCCACTGTTCCTGCCAATTATGGTTGTTTCTAAACTTCAACGCTGCTCCCAGAGACTGGGATTTTCCACCTGGGAGATATTCATAGACTCTCTAAAAGGAAGCTTGGGGCAATAGAAAGAGCAGATGTTCTGTGACTCACCCTGTCAATTCATTCTCTGTGAGACTTGTTTCCCTCATTTCAAAGAAAGAAAATGGTATCTACCTCTCAGTGCTTTTGTGAGAATTATGTGCAATAACTCATGGATAATACTTACTTAGTACAGTATTTAGCACATAGTATGAACTCAAAAAATACTTATTATGATTACCTCGGAGCAGGCAAAAATCTCAGCCTCTCAGGGATGTCAAAGGGCTATGAATGAGCATTGGAACTGTGACAAGAAAGCTACACAGATTTTCTTAAAATATTTAAAGAACTCACTTGATGACATTAGCAGGGAGCTTAAAATTTAAGAACAGAATTCTGTCTTGTCTTGTTCTGTCTTATCTTATCATCCCATCTTATCTATCATCTATCTCTCACCAGCACCAGGACTAAGGTTGGGGGTTGGGAAAAAAGAGGAGAGCACAGCGAGTAAGAGAGATGAGATTCAAATAGAATTGAAAGGACTGATTTGTGCACTGGAGGAAGAAGCTAATAAGAAGACCAATTCCTAAAGTTTTCCCAGGAAAATGTGTTTGCATTGCAGAAGGTGGCAATCTTATGGAAGAAGTAATGGCCACGCCACGGCTTACTCCTCTTTCACACAGACCAGGGTCCTGGGAGAGTGCATGTCTGCTCCCATTTTCTGGAAGGGTTTCCTGGTAAGAGGATTTCTGGGTGCCTGGGAGGCTGAGTCAGCTCACAGAGATGGCCCGAGGCAGCCTGTGCTGTGAGAGGCCTCTGAAATTGGGAGTCTCAGGCAAGTGGTCACTATAATGAGAATATCTTTCCCAGTAAAACAGCGTCTCTAGGGACTGAGGACCATAAAAACACTGCCTGTGTTCCCAGCCATGTTTATGTTGGCCTGGTCAGCGGAGGGCACCCATTTAGGTAGCCAATTCCCTTTGAGAGCCACAGTCGAGGTTGCCCAATTAATAGAACAGCTCCCATCCCCCAGTAATTTTATATAGCCCCCATCTCTAAGCAACACATCATTTATCCCAGACTGGGTTGGTCAGAAATAAAAGAAAAACTTAAATTTGTTTCTGAGGATAGAAATTTCCCTAGCTTTTTTTTTTTTTTAAGATTTACACTCAATATATATTTACAACCAGATTTTACCAGCATCACAAATTGGGGATTCTTTTCAACAGTAATCACCAATTCTTCTCCCTGATGTTAAAGTTCATGCCCAATATTCTTTTATTTATTTTGTTGTGCTGAGGATCAAACCCAGGACCTTACCAATGCTAGGCAATGTTCTACCATGGGTCTACCTCCCCAGCCCTTATCCATTTCTTAATATCATTCAATAATAAACATTCAAGAATCATTTATAATGTTCAACATCCTGAAACACAAAGGAAAAGAAAAAGTAAATGATAGTGGATATCAGATATAAAACAAAATTTATTAATA